ACCACCCCCTCCCTTGGCCCCCAGCCCATCTCCCTGCCCCTTCCATGCCCAGCCTGCCCAGTGCCCATGGCAGCCCTGCCCTGGGTGCTTCTCCTGCAGGCAGGTGCCTCAGGCTGCCACAAAAGCAAGATCCTGGGGGTATAAATGCTCTGCCATGAGAGCTGCTGTCTCAGAGCCCTCTCAGGCTGCAGGCAGGCCTGGTAATGAGAGTGTTCTCCTAAAATCCAAGGACCCTGGGCACCCCTCAGCCCTGGGAGAGGTTGTGGCAGAAGGGAACAGTGCCCACAGGGTGGGATCTCCTGGGGGGGTGAGGGCAGAACCTGCAAATCCAGCCCTGTCCTCCTGCCAGGATCCCCATGCAGCTGGTGGTGACTGCCTGGGACAGTGTGCTGTTCCCCATCCAGAGGTGGCACTGGAAGGCCAGCCTTAGCTCTGGCACTCCTGTTCCTTCAGGGCTCTCTGCTGCCTGCTCTGGCTTTTTCTGGGGTATAGAGAATGGCCTGGGCTTGTTGCCCCTTTGCCATGTGATTTGGATTAAAACAACAGCAGAAACTCAGGAGAGAAACAACTGCCCCAGGTTTAAGTATTTCACCATGAGCACAGCAAGTGATTTTTCAGAATAACTAAATTCTTTGCCATTCCTTCAACTGGTGGTGCCTGGTCATTGCTGATTGTTTTCAGCTGGATTAAAGGCATCCTAAATGCTTGTTTGGAGTCAAGGGGAGTTGTACATGACCAAAATAAAGGGATAATCTAGGCTTTGCAAGAAGTGATTCATGAAAGCAGTCATTTTATTTGTGTTTTGTTTAGCTCTCTGAATAACTACCCACATATTTCCATTGTTTTATTCCTGGTCTTCCTCTGCCAGATGAAGCGCTTCCCACATTTATTTTCAGGTCCTGAGAGAGGCAAATATGTTAGGAATTTAAATGAATTCAACAGCAGCACCAGATGGAGCTTGGTATTAGGGAAGCTGGAGGGAGGGGAGGGGGAAGAAGGAGACAGAGAAGAATAAAACATGTGTGGCTACTAAATATTATCAACTCCAACTTTTCCATAAGTGTCTGCTTGTCACAGACTTGAATAACAGGTCTTCAAAAGGGCTATAAACTGTGATTGCAGGTGGCTAAGCAGTGACCAGTTAATCATGGTAACTCTACACTGAAGTCATGCTGGATTTGCTGCTTGCTCTCCCTTCCTGTAAAGTGTTTTTCCACAAACTCTTTCAGGAAAGCCCAAGGTGTATCAGGGTGTCAGAGTAAAGATTACAGTGAAGGAGTTACTGCAGCAGAGAAGAGCACGACAGGCAGCAACCGGTTCAGCAGTGAGTAAAAATGTTTTGTTGTTTGCTGTGTCTCTTTGTTTATTTATATTTATTATTATTATTATTTTGCCAAGTCTGTAATCTCTGGGCCCAAAGGGCTACCGAAGTCTGAATGTACCAGGCTGATGAGGATGGGGGGAAAAAAACATCCAGCCAGTGATCTAAAGGGGTGAGAATCTGTGCAGAGAGGAAGCAGAGCTGGTGCTCCAGGAGCATCCCTGAGTCTGGGATGGAAGGCTCAGCTTCCAGAGGAGGGGCTGGAGCTCTGTGTGTGCTCACACTCTCTCACTCACTCATCCAGCCACTCCAGGGATTTGCATAAAGAGGCTGGTAAATCATTATTTCTTCCTGGTTCGTGACTCTCCAGCCCCGGAAGGCTTTCAGATTTCAGCTCGCTGTGCCTCGTTGCAGCTGAGTGCACAAAAAGCAGCTCAGGCACAGGCACAGGGGGCTGGGGGAGCAGTGCACAGAACTGCCAGGCTTTGGAGAGGCTGGGTCACTCCTCCCCTGCAGCAGCAGCAGCAGCCTCTGCATCACCGGGCTGAGCTGAACCGGTTTTCACTTCCCACCACCAGCTGGCACAACACCTGTGGAGCCCACACAGGAAAAAGTGAGCAGT